GTGGTGCCCCCGGTGTCTGGAATCCCTGTACCACCTGCTCTGGTGTGAGGGCGGCGGGAGTCTGAGCACCTCCCCCAGCCTGAGAAGTGGCTGCTGAGGCCGGAACAGAGACCGCCTAAGCAAGACTGATACACACGGTCAAAATCTGACCTAAGGCCTCCTGAAGGCCTGGAATCACAATGGGCACGGGTGGTGCCTGAGCTGGTCCCACAAGCTCGTCCACAACTGGAGTCTGCTCCTGAACTGGGTCAACAAGTACTTCCCCAGCTGTTGTGAGGGCTGCACCTCTGCCCCTACCATGGCCTCTACCGCGACCTCGACCTCTCACGGCCCTGGCTGGTGGTACTGGTGGTTGTCTATCCTGCCCAGTAGTACGAGTCCTCAACATCTGTGAGACAATGAAACAATAAATGTTTTGTCACTAGAATCAACAGATTCGCACGACATGAATTCAAGAATGTGAAATTGCCTAAGGGTTCGGCAGCCTCTCGAAGATAAGTACAGACGTCTCCGTACCGATCCGCAAGACTCTACTAAACCTCCTCATGACTCGTGAGACCTATGTAACCTAGGCTCTGATACCAACTTGTCACGACCCAAAACCTAACCCGTCGTGATGGCGCCTATCTTGATAATAGGCAAGTCGACCTTTCCAAAACACTTTCAGAATTTAACATAAATGAATTAAGACATTTAAACTAACTAGAGTTTTGCATAAAACGGGGGTAAAACCCAAAAACATAAGTGCGGAAAAATAGCCCGACATCGGGGTGTCACTGAATCATGAGCATCTAGATATCCAGTCTAATACAAACAGTGTCTAAGTATCAATACTAAAAAGAAAGAAAACATAGAAGGAGAGACAAGGTCTGCGGACGTCGGCAGCTACCTCGTAGTCTCCAGTACTCGATCGCGCACGAACTCAACGACCTCCGTGATCAAACACACCTGGATCTGCACATGAAGTGCAGGGTATAGCATGAGTACAACCAACTCAGCAAGTAATAGAATAAATAAGGAACTGAGAAGGTAGTGACGAGCTATACAAATACAGTTCATTTTCAATAATTCCAGCAAAAATTAGACATGCTTTCAAATCCGGCAGTTCAATCAAATCAATTTTATACAGTTAAAGTGAAGGTAAATCCGGATATAGAATCTTTCATAAATTTCACGATAATGACAGATAGCAACTAAGCGCATCAACAAATGAAAAAGCAAGTACAACCTCTTAGGGCAACAGTCACTCAACTCGTCACAACAGCTCAATCACTCGGCTCTCAGCCCTCAGTACTCACACTCAATAGTTACATGCACTCACTAAGGGTGTGTAAATTCCGGAGGGGCTCCTTCAGCCCAAGCGTTATATCACTGCGGCGTGCAGTCCGATCCCATATAAATAGCCATAAGACTCGTTGCGGTGTGCAACCCGATCCATATGTATATACAGCCCTGCGGCTCGTTGCGGTGTGCAACCCGATCCATATACAGCCCTAATCGTTGCGGCATGCAACTCGATTCATATACATACATATAGCTCACAGCTCGACATTCAGGCCCTAACTCAGTCACTAACCTGTCTAGTCTCTCGGGCTCTCAGAAATCATAAAGATCATCCTAAACAAAATAACATAGTGTATCAACAAGAATCAAGAAGAGACTGAGATATGATACGCAAGTAAAACCATGTCTGAGTGCAAGACAGCAATTAACAAATAATTCAACAAGTACGCGACCTCTGCGGGTCACAACAGTATCATCACATAGCCTAAGTATGATTTCTAACATGATTTGCAGTCAAATTTCTATAACACAGAGAGAGCAAGTAATTAAAAATAAGCTATTCGACTTTACAGTCTCACAGGATGGACCAAGTCATAACCCCCCATGGTGCACGCCTACACGACCGTCACCTAGTATGTGCGCCACCTCCAAAATAGTCACATTATACCAACATCCAGGGTTTCATACCCTCGGGACCCGTTTTAAAATTTTCACTTACCTCAAACCGCGAAAAATCCTACTCCGCAATACTTTTGCCCCTCGAATCAATCTCCAAATGCCTCGAATCTAGCCACAAACAGTACGTACGATATAATTAATATAGGCTAAAAGAATCAATTTCACAAGAAATAAATACGAAATTATAAGTCAAAATCCGAAATAGGCTCAACCCGGCCCGCCAGGCCCACGTCTCAAAACCCGACAAGAATCACAAAACCCGAAAACCCATTAACTCACGAGTCCAACCATACCAAATTTATCAAAATCCAATATCATTTCTCCCTCCAAAACCCCAAAATTCACTCTCCAATTCCCAAGCCTTAATCTCCCAAATCTCACCTCAAAAACTCACCAACTAGTGGGTAAACACCATTATTGAAGATAAATAGGCACAAGGAACTTACCTCAGCAAACACTTCAAAATCCTCCAAAATTCGAGTTCCAAAATGTGAAAATTGTGAAAAATATCGAAATCTTCTATGTATAGGTTCTGCCGAGCAAAACCGCACCTGCGGACCTCCTGTCGCATCTGTGACGCCGCACCTGCGGAAATTCCATCGCAGGTACGGATCCCACTTAAGCTCCCATATTCTGCATCTGCGGTCACATATTCGCACCTGCGGGCTCTGCCCGCTTCTGCGATCCTTCCCACTCAGGCCTTTTTCCGCATCTGCGCCTCCCCTTCCGCGTTTGCGGTTTTGCAGATGCGCTCCTAACCTCGCACCTGCGCTTCCAGTCCAACCCAGCCTTGCCCACAGATGCGTCCTCCTCTTCGCTTCTATGGGGCCGCACCTACGGGCTCACACGAGAACACCAAAAGAAACCAGCAATGCCTAAGTCCAAATTTCCTTCCGATGGGCATCCGCAATACCCTCGAGGCCCCCGGGACCTTAACCAAACATACCAACAAGTCATATAACCCCATGCGAATTTAGTCGAACCTTCGAATCACTCAAAATAACATCAAAACACCAATTACACCCGGATTCAAGCCTAAAGAACTTCTAAACTTTTAAATTCCACAAACGACGCCGAAACNCACTCAAAATAACATCAAAACACCAATTACACCCGGATTCAAGCCTAAAGAACTTCTAAACTTTCAAATTCCACAAACGACGCCGAAACCTACCAAACCACGTCCGATTGACCTCAAATTTTGGAAACAAGTCATATTCAACATTACGGACCTACTCCAACTTTCGGAATCGGAATCCGACCCCGATATCAAAAAGTCATACTTCCCAAAAATTTGACTTCCGCCATTTCAAGCCTAAATTAGCTACAGACCTCAAATTTACAGTCCGGACATGCTCCTAAGTCCAAAATCACTCAATGGAGCTAACGGAACCGTCAGAACTCCATTCCGGTGTCGTCTTCACACAATTCCGACTACGGCCAAAATTCTAAGACTTAAGCTTCCGTTTTAGGGACTAAGTGTCCCAAAACACTTCGAAACCAAAAACAAGACTTCCCGGCAAGTCACTTAAGCAGAAACAGATACGGAAAAAACAGTAAATAGGGGATCGAGGCTAATACACTCAAAACGACCGATCGAGTCGTTACACATGAAAGGTGAGATAAACCAACCCAATGTTAGCTATCCTTAGATAAAATGATAAAAATGACCATATTAGCCCATCAGCCCTCTTCATTTGTAATATATATGTTTTGGATTATGAAATGCAATAATGCTTTTTGTCACTGCCATGGAGCTAAATACTTCAAATCAAAAGACGGAAGATTACAACAAACCAAAATAGATACCATCAGCCTTCATCAATCAGTTGCAAATACACATTCCTATTTAAACGCTCTACCACAAAAAAAATTGACCTAAATATCAAATATATTAAACTGAAAAACCCAGCTGAAGCTACAATAAAAGAGTGGTCCCCCAAATGTTATCATGGAATGAGAAATCAAATTTCATCACCAAATTTAAGGGTGCGAGTTCCAAGATCATCATCTCCGGATTGACAATGAACTTTTGGAATTTTCACCCCAAAACTTCATCAATCACCAAAGGTTAGCATAACCAAAATTTATACAGTAACAAATTAAAATAGTTATTAAATTTTAAAAAATGGTTCAAATGTATCTACTTCACTAAAATTATCAAGGTTAAAATTGAAAACAAAAGATTTATTCAAGTTTATCTAGTTTCAAATCAAACACATGTTTTAGATTATACATTGTATATCTCATTTTTAATCCAATAAATCAAATAGTAATAAATAATCGAGGGATTATTAGTCCCGAAATTATAGTGATTATTAGTCCCGGAATTATAATCTTAGGACTATAAAAGTCCGGAATAATTTTGTTTGCGAACGAAACGATCTCTTTTAGATTAACCCATCATGCTCTAGTATATGAAAGAAAAGAGAGTTTGTTTGCTAATGCGTTTTATGTGCGTACCTGCCATATTCTCATACTCCCTCCGTTCCAATTTATGTGAACTTGTTTGACTGGGCACGAAATTTAAGAAAAGATGAAGACTTTTGAAATTTGTGGTCCTAAACAATTCAAAAGGGGGCCCAAATTATTTGTGTGGTTATAAAAGTTTCTCATTAAGGGTAGAATTGTAAGTTTAAGCAAAATTGTTTCCAAATTTAGAAAGGGGTCATTCTTTTTGGAACAGACCAAAAAGGAAATAGGTTCACGTAAACTGGAAGGGAGATAGTATCTTATACTCCATCCGTTTCAATTTATGTGAACTTATTTTCTTATTAGTCCGTGCCAAAAAGAATGACCACTTTCTTTATTTGAAAACAATATTCCTTTATGCAATGATTTAGCCACACAAAATATATGTGCCTCATTTTATACCACAAGTTCAAAAGTTTTATCTCTTTTCTTAAACTTCGTGTCTAGCCAAATGAGTTCACATAAATTGAAACAAGAGAGTATATATGTGTGCTACCTACAACTAGGCATAGCATTGCAAGAGTAGTCTCTCTATATCTCTATATATATATACGTGCTACCTACAACTAGGCATAGCATTGCAAAGAGTAGTCTCTCTATTAGAGTCTAAATATCATTTCTCCACTTCTTTATTCTTCAGCACCATGGCTAAGGAATTTAAGTCTATCCCTCTAATAGGTTTGAATTTCCGAGCCACTTTTGAAGTTCTGTTTTAAAGTTCTCATGATTTTGCTTTTAATTTTTAATTCTAATTCTAAAACTTAGTAATAAGGCCTATTTTTTGTTGCGTACTATCAATTTATCTTCTCTTCTAGGACATGGTTATTAAAATTTTGCTTAAAAAAAGTTTCCATTGGTTATGTAAAAATTTATTTTAGTGTTTCATATGGAACAGACATAAGTCCGCTTCTACAGAAGTGGGATGAACTACACGAATCGCAAAATGAAAGTATAGCTGAAGTGGTGAAAAAACTAGATGAGGCATGCAAAAACGAAGGCTTTTTTTACGTGGTAATTATTCTTCTCCTGCTAATATTTCTTTCTATCGACGTTATTGCTGGTCTTGCTCACTACAAAAATAAAAATAAAAATAGAAGATGTTGCTTATTTACTTGGCTCATTAAGTGTCTCCTTCGTAAGAACTAATCATGGAACAAAACAGAATTTCAAAAGTTGCTATATTAACCTCTTTCTATTCTCTGTTTCTCATTTTTTCAGACCGGCCATGGTATCCCGCTTCCCTTCATGGAAGAGATAAGGAGAATCACACGTAAATACTTTGATCAACCTTCTGAAGATAAACTGAATTTTAAACTTTCTGCCTCAACTGGCTACAGGTCGGTTCCTGTCATTACCCAATATCTTGAATTATTACAATGTCGTTATGTTATCTTAACTAATGATTGCCTATGTATCTTGAATGCAGAGGTTACCAAGCAATCCATGAGAATATAACTACAGGCGTCCCTGATATGCAAGAAGCCATTGATGTACGTGAGCGCTTTTAAACAATGTGAATAATGTCTTTTATTCCTATTTACTCTCTGTCTCGTCGGATATGGTTGGTTCCCTTTCAAGTAAGGTCTTTTTAATTGTTTGTGTTTTCGGCTCAACTTTGAACTTTATCCTTAATCCATTCACAAATTGATTAAAGCTCTTCTCAAAAATGAGAAATTTTTATTTTTGCTATTAAAGACCATTCTTCAACTATGTCCAACATCTCTACTGTTTGCAATGTAACTTCTCTCGATGTTACTTTCTATTTACACATGTCTCTTGACAAAGCTTTTATAGAAATACTTCGTTAATATAATTAGTAATTGGTGCTGTTTTGGTTAGTAAATCATGTTTGATGCATTGCAGTTCTATAGAGAAATAAAAGAAGGGATGTATGGAGATCTGGGAGAAGTTTTGCAAGGTCCTAACTTATGGTAGGTAAACAAGATACTTGCAATACATTCGGTTGGCACGAACCCCTTCCTCTCTATCTCGTTGTACATCTTCAAATCTCTTTTTTTTTTCCGTTAGTTTTATACTATTGACTGCTAAATGACGACTTTGAGTTTTGGTGTTTCTTGGTTTTGTTTGGCCTTGGTACAATATTTTTCTTATGCAGGCCAAGTTTCCCACCAGATTTCAAACAGTTGATGGAGCTTTATATTAACCAGTGCACAGGTGCCTTACTCTCTGTATATACATATATAATCTTTTGACAAATTCACATACAAGAAATGGCGAACTTTTGTATAATACATCTGGCAGATATATCCCGTAACATTTTGAGGGGTATTTCCCTAGCGTTAGCGGGATCGGCAAAAGAAATAGAGAGCAAAATAAGCAAAGATCCATTCTGGGTCTTAAGAACAATTGGTTACCCTCCTTCACCATCGTCAGATATACAAGATAACGCTAGGAGCACAATTGGTTGGTAAGTTAATTTAAAAAAAAAGATATTGGATTGTAAGTTATGGTATTGTTCTTCGAGTTGTTTTTTCCCTGTTATTGGTTTATCTGTTTTCTAATGAGTTATATCTTTTGTTTTCTGTGTTGTCCATCTATTTGGAATCAAATAATTCTCAGTGGAGCTCACACTGATTATGGTAAAACTTCATAATATCTTTTCAAGGATGTTTCTTTCCACTTATTGATTGGCAATCATGAATTTCTTTTTTCTCGGCTTACAGGATTGCTGACCTTACTTAACCAGGACGATAACATCCTTGCCCTTGAGGTACAATTATATTCCTTTTTCCGATTTTGCTCCTTTCGTTGAGAGCTACCGAGAAATATTAGCTTCCAAGTCCTTAAAGCATGCCTACTCCCTAGATTTCCCTTGTAAAGCCTTCTCTTATACACTTTGTTTTATGATCTAATTTTCATCCTGGTTTATTGGGCTGAATCTTTGATGAAATATATTGCTGGTTTTGTTTCACTACAAATCATGCTGAATTATTTTAAGGTAAAGAACAAATCTGGTGAATGGATCCCTGCCGCCCCTATAAAAGGAACCTTTATATGTAACGTCGGTGATATGCTCAAGGTATGCAATTTACTTTGAACTTTTTAATCATTTTTACACCTCTGCTTAAGTTGTTCATCTCTATTGGTTGTTGGCAGATTTTATCCAATGGGTTATATGAATCCACACTCCATAGAGTCATCAACAGCACTGGCAAATACCGTGTTTGTGTGGCTTATTTTTATGAGGTTAAAGTTTTTCTTTTTCTTTTGACAATTAAATTTAAAAAAACGATGGTATGACTTTATGTTAGTTTCTAATGATGTATGTTTCATTTCTCCTACAGCCCAACTTTGACGCGGAAGTAGAACCCTTGGATGTGTGTGTGCAGAACATGGGGGGGATCAAGAAGTTTGAAGGTGCTTGTTATGGCAAACATTTGGTCAATAAAGTGACCAACAACTTCGTGATGGAGTAGAGCTTGAACCAGCTCTGTGTTTCTTGGGTTTCTTTGCCTGGTTCTTTTCCCAAGTACATCATGTATTTTTGAACCGGGCTGTTTTAGGTTCTAATTACTATGTTCGTGGTTTGTATGAACTTGAGTTTTATCACAATTTGCCGTATTCATAATATCAAGGCGGCTTTTGGGTGAGGATTGAGAGAAACTTGTTTGATGGATTGATAAGCACCAAGTGATTTTCTTTTATCTTTCTTTGTTAACCTGAATTTTAATGAGTTATACAAAATATCATATATATTTGAATAGGAGCAACCACTACCCAAATTTGAATAAATTTTTATCAATCTTTCATCACCAAGTTTGCCTCCTTACTCTTTTTAAAACTAATTTTGGCTTAGCTCACTACTAAAAAACTAGCAAAACCCGTCCAAAAAATACCGACCGAAATCGGTCGGAAAATAAGTAAATTGGTCGCAAAAGTGAAAGAAAATATTTCTCACAACGAAAATAGTGGTCCCACAAGATAAAAAAATTCCGACCAATGTTGGTCAGAAATTGATCAATCTTTGACCAAGACTTGATCATACTTGCATATTATATACCAAAAATATTTTTAATTAAAATGTTTCAAGTATACCGACCGAAATCGGTCGGTATATTTAAAATTATTCTTTCTCGCCCAAGGCAATTGGTTAATATAACAAGACTTTTATATATATATATATATATATAGTTCTATAAGATGTAGTGCTATATTAATACTTAAGTTTTAGCAACAACAACATATGAATATAGCATATGTTAATATAGTATTAATATATATACATATATTGTTGTTGCTACAACTTATGTATATTAATACTTAAGTTGTAGCAACAACAACATATGAATATAGCATATATTGATATAACATATGTGTAACTACCCGGCCGATCGTTTTGAGAGTATTAGCCCTGATCCCCTTTTTACTGCTTTCCTCGTATCTTTTTCTGCTTATGAGACTTGCTGGGAGGTTTTGTTTTTGGTTTTCGAGTGATTGGGACACTTAGTCCCTAAAACGAAAACTTAAGTTCTTGAATTTTGACCGTAGTTGGAACTGTGTGAAGACGGCTCCAAAATGGAGTTTCGTCGATTATGTTAGCTCCGTTGGGTGATTTTGGAATTAGGAGCGTGTCCGAATTGTGAATTTGAGGTCTGTAGCTGAGTTAGGCTTGAAATAGCAAAAGTCGAATTTTTTAGGAAGTTTGACCGGAAGTAAACTTTTGGATATAGGGGTCGGATTCCAATTCCGTAAGTTGGAGTAGGTATGTAATGCCAATTATGATTAGTGTGCAAAATTTGAGGTAATCGGACGTGTTTAGATAGGTTTCGGCATCGGTTGTGGAAGTTTGAAGTTTCAAAGTTCAATAAGTTTGAATTGGAGTGTGATTCACGTTTTTGTTGTTGTTTGATGTGATTTGAGGGCTCGACTAAGTTTGTATGGTGTTTTAGGACTTGTGGATATATTTGGTTGAGGTCCCCGGGGCCTCGGGTGTGTCTTGGATAATTTTCGGATTAATTTTGGACTTGTGAGGACTGGTGATTTTTCAGCTTCTGGTGTCATCGCACCTACGGAGGGGTTGGCCGCAGGTGCGTACACGCGCGTGCGAGAGGTGGATCGCAGGTGCGGTCTGAAGGAGCTTGGTATGTGGTCGCAGGTGCGACAAGAAGGCCGCAGAAGCGGAGTCGCTTCTGCGGAAGGTTGAACGCACAAGCGGAGAGGCCTGGGAGGCTTTGGGATCACAGAAGCGGAAGGGTCTCCGCAGAAGCGGGATCGTTACCAGCGATCCCTGGTCCACAGAAGCGAAAACCCTAGACATAAGTGGAATCCGCACCTGCGATCGTTTTTCCGCAGGTGCGGCATCGCAGGTGCGAGATCACTGGGCAAAAAAGGGAAAATTTCGAGGGTTTGATCTTATTTTCATTTTGGGACTTTGAGAGCTCGGATTGAGGCGATAATTTGAGAAATTTTCAGAGAAACCTATTGGGTAATGATTCTTAACTCCTTTTTGGTTATATTCCACTAATCTATCATTAATTTCATCATTTAATTAAGGATTTGAGTTGAGAAAATTGGGGAAAAAGTTGAAAAGTTCTTCAACCAAATTTTTGAGTTCCAATTGGGATTTTGATGCCGGATTTGAGTAATTTTGGTATGAGTGAACTCGTGAGTGAATCGGTGTTCGTATTTTGTGACTTTTGCCTGATTCCGAGATGTGGGCCTGGGTCGACGTTTTGGGGCGATTTTCGAAATTCTTGTTAAATTCTTGATTTCATTAATTAGATTAGTTTATTATAGTTGTATTTATAGTATGTAATTATTTTTGGCTAGATTTGGACCATTCGAAGTTGGATAATCGAGGAAAATGAGTTCTTGTTGATTGATTGAGCTTGGCTCGAGGTAAGTGGCTTTCCTAACCTTGTGTGGGGGAAATCCCCTGAGGATTTGGTATTGATGTGATACTTCTGTGATATGTGAGCGCCGTGTACACGAGGTGACGAGTGCGTACACGGGGTAATTGTTGTAAAATTTGGTTTTTCATTGAGTAGTAGCATGTTACATCCTAATTGAGTTATACCAACATGTGTAGTTATCCTATTTAGTCTCATATCGCATGTCTACGTGTCTTAAATGCTTATTTGAAATCTATGCAACATGTTTAGTTGAATTCATGTTTTTGCTTGATTTGTATCAGCCTTAACTGCAGAATTCTTGTTGTTAATTGCTATTTTGAATCGATTCGAGCTGTGTGTTTACTTTTGGGACTACGAGGCGGTACCTCGGGAGATCCCCTATATATTTACTTTTGGGACTACGAGGCGGTTGTCACGACCCAAAATTCTCACCTTCGGGACCGTGATGGCGCCTAACATTTCATTTGCTAGGAAAGCCAACGTTAGAATATAATTAGCCATTTTACCATAATTTTTAAATTAATTATTAACAAAGAAACAAATACGGAAATAAAGTCTCAATTAAAGTGAATACTCCATAATACTAGCGATGTCTGAATACCATCCCAGAACTGGTGTCACAAGTGCACGAGCTTCTAGAATAATACAAACAAGGGTCTAAACAAAATAAATTTGCCTGAAAGAAAGCACACAACTAACATAAAGTAGAGGGAGACTTCAAAGCTGCGAACGCCGTACAACTATACCTCAAGTCTCCACTGGTAGCTGAATCCGAGCAAATCTACAGTACGTCACTGGGACCAACTCCGAAATCTGCACAAGAAGTACAGAGTGTAGTATGGGTACAACTGACCCCATGTACTTTGTAAGTGTCGAGCCTAACCTCGACGAAATAGTGACGAGGCTAAGGCAGGTCGCTTACATTAACCTGTACTTGCACCAGCTATGATTCAAAGTTCAATTTCACTCCGTAGCCTATCTGAAACTTGCCTGAGCCTTCGGGGCTCTAAACAAAATATGCACACAAGTCTAAAAACATCATACAAACTTGCTCGCGCGATCAAATTGCCATAATAACACCTAGAACTATGAATCAGACACCAAAATTAAATGAAATTTTCAAGAAACTTTAGAACTTCTATTTTAACAACCGGACGTTCGAATCACGTCAAACTAACTCCGTTTTTTACTAAATTTGATAGTACAGTCATAAATATTATAATGAACCTATACCGAGTTTCGGAACCAAAATACGGACCCGGTATCAACAAAGTCAAACAGTGGTCAAACCTTCTAAGTCATTAAGTCTTTAGGCTTTCAAATTTCGAAAAAAAGTGATAACTCAAGTTAGGGATCTTTGAATTTGGTTTCGGGCATACGCCCAAGTCCCAAATCATGATATGGACCCACCAGGACCATCAAAACATAGATCCGGGTGTGTTTGCCCAAATCGATCAACATTTTTGGTAAACGGGCCCGTATCCGTGCTTTGACGGTCCCGGTAGGTCCGTATCGACTTATGGGACCTGGACATATGCCCGGAATCGAATTCGAAGGTCCCTAGCTTGAGTTATGAATTTTTGATCAAAATTATATTTATTTTTAAGAATTGATTGATATTTGGTATTGTTAGTATCGGGTCCGTATTTTGGTTTCGAAGCCCGGTACAGGTTCATTATGATATCTAAGACCTGTCTGTGAAATTTGGTGTGAAATGGAGTTGATTTGACATGATTCAGACGTCCAACTAAGAAAATAGAAATTTTAAAGTGTTCTTGAGAATTTCATTTGATTTGGTGATAAATTCGTAGTTCTAGGTATTATTTTGGTAATTTTATCATGCGAGTAGGTCCGTATTATATTTTTAGACTTGTGTACATGTTTGGTTTGGAGCCCTGAGGGCTCGGGTGAGTTTCGAATAGGCCACGGGATGTTTTGGACTTTGGAAATCTGGTTTTTCTGCAGAGTCTGTGTTCTGGCATGTCCTTCTTCGCGTTCGAGAAGGTACTCTCGCTAACACGAAGAGTAAACTGGGCAGCTGAAGTTTTTTCTTCTTCGCGAACGCGAAGGCTTGGTCGCGAATGCGAAGCGATGGGGGCGTAACCCTTCGCGAACGCAGCTAGCTCCTCGCGATCGCATTGTGTTAGGCACACCTGGGGGAGAGTTGATCGTTCCTTCATCGCGAACGCGATCAATGTCTCGCGAACGCGAAGGCCATGGGGGGTAGCCTACGTGAACGCAAACACTGTCTCGCGAACGCAAAGGCTTGGCAGCCTATACGCTTCGCGAACGCGATGAACACTGTCGCCCAGCACTTAACAGAATCCAAAAACGGGATTTTAGCCAAAAATTCTTTTTTCTCAAAAACCAAACAGTGAGAGGCTATTTTTCAAGAGCCATTTCTTCCCCAAATTGTTGGTAAGTGATTCTAAACCATTTTCATTCAATTACCCATTACATTTCTTGAATTATCAACCAAAAATCTAGAGTTTTCATGGTAGAATTAGGGGTTAGGGTAGAAACTAGGAATTTCGTAAATTTGAGGATTTAGACCCCAATTTGAGGTCGGATTCCAAAACTAATTATATATTCAGAACTCAGGGGTGAATGGTTAAAAGGATTTTGGTCTGAACCTCGAGTTTTGACCAAGCGAGCTCGGGGTCGATTTTTCGACTTTTTGGAGGAAAGTTTGGGAAATTTAATTTATGAAATATAATTGATTCCTTTAGCAATATTTAATATTATTGAGTCATTTTTTAATAGATACAAGTGGTTTAGAGGTGAATTCCAAAGAAAAAGTTGTGATTGAGAATTAAGTGGCCTTCGGAGCAAGGTAAGTGTCGTGTCTAACTTT